CAGCTGCGAATGTGCACATGGACACTCCCCATGCCACAGAGCCATGCAGCAGCTCTCTGAGCACAGCACCACAGGGAGGGCAAACATGTGGCAGCAGGACTCTGTGGCTTAAACAGTGGTTAGCATTTTCTGTGACCTGCACTTTCAATGCTAGGAGTCTCCCTGACAGTCCCAGAGTTGCCAACTCTCATGATTTAATTGTCACTCTTATGATATTATTGTTTTCCTTCGAGCCCCACTTCTGGAGCTGAGAATCTTAGCTTTCATATCTCTCTCTCTCTCTCTCTCTCTCTCTCTCTCACACACACACACACACACACACGTTTCTATGCCTCTGATTGCAGAGAAAAGCCAAAAAACATAATACAAAATTAAGGCTCAAAACAAGAAATTAAAAACAACAGTAATCAAAAGAACCCCTCATTCACATTTATTATTTTTTTAAACTCTTGATTTTTTTGGTCCTGACTCCTGGGTTTTGAACTCTTGGGGCTGGTAACACTGCAATCTGCTGTCAGGCCTTCCATTTGGGAAAGCAGTTCCACTTCAATGCGGCTGCTCTTGCATGAGACAGCATAGCTTGGGTGGCTCTAGGAAGTTCCCTTGTGGTCTCTGGTTTTGGGCATGGAAAACATAACAGCTGGGAACATGCGTGGGCAAAATGCATGGTACTAATGTGGCTTCTGCTTCAATTAAATCCCATTGGCCACATTCTGCAGTACTCACCCCTGACAACTCCTGGGCAAAACTCCCAACCAAGGCCCATGAGTAAAGATTGCCAGATTAGGTCCCATGACCCCAGATTCTCTCTCCCTGATCTGGGCACACAGTAGACCTACTGTGTGATGCTGCCCGCCCTCAGCTCTGACTTACAGAGGCCTCTCTGTGGGTCCAGCATCCACAATGGCAGAAGGAGAGACTGAGCCATCCAACGTGGGCACACAACAGCCCTCCTTCAGAGGATAAGCAGAGGGGGATCAGAGAGTCCAGGCGCTTTTTCCTAGAGATCCTCCACCCAGCTCTTCTATGTGGCTGCTGCAGCTTTCACAGACACAGGGGCTGCAGTTGTACCTGTCCATTATTACAGGGAGTGCAAGTGATGGTGAAGGGAGGCAGCTGGGCCCTGTCCACACACCCCCATAACAGGGGTTAGGCACTATCTAGCCCTCAAAGATCATCACCGCTTTTGCTGCAAAGATCTGGCCTTAAGTGGAGTCAGTGGCAAAGTCCCATCAACTTCAGCTGGTGCCTGGGTTTGGCCTTAAGCCTCATCATATACGAATATGTAACAATCAGAAACTGACATGTGCAGCTGTGACTGCCATGTTTCTGTGTGAGAGATTTGGCAGTGTAAAGACAACCTGCATTTATTTCTGGGTCACTTCCCCATCTCTATTTGACAAGCATCCTGGAATTGATCTGCCATGTGAACTGCCAGTGGCACAATCGCAAAGAGGAAGCCACAAAAAAAGAAAAACCATATTACTTAACTAGTACAAAAACAACAATCATCACAATGACTCCCACAACCACATTTGAAGGATCTGTGAAAAAATATATTGCAAAACCAGCCTCACTGGACATTGCCAGTAGAAAGCATCTTCTTCCCTACCTCCACCCCCAACCCCCAAGCAAATCTTTGTGACCTGTTAGAGATTTCAGTGTTAAATGTTGGTCTATAAAGGGTTTTGGAAACTAGAATTGCAACCAGCCTCTCACATACCCAGAAGTCCAGCTGCTCCCATCACTCAACACTCCACGTCAAGATGACCTGCTGTTCTGGGGCAGTCGGGCTGACCCAGACACTTGATTAGACCAAAGTTTTGAATTCATTTTAGTAGAACCACTCGGAAGAGTTACTAGCCATCCACCTCCCATCAAGGTTCCTCCAGTGCTTCCTCAACCACTGCTTCCCACTGTTGCCATCCTAAAGGGCCCGAGGAGGCAAACAGCGGGGTTCGTTGCCCGGTGTGCTTGGCACCAATAAAGACACC